CTTAATTTTGTACATGTGAAATACAATGCAAGACATAATTTTTCGATAGCAGAGTAATTACATTCACATTTCGTTAACTGTCTACTTAAGTAGTAAATTGCCCTTTCTTTACCAAATTGGTCTTCCTGTGCGACCATTCCAGCTGTTGATTCTTTTTCAGCCGATACATACACTTTCATTGGCCGTCCTTGGATTGGTGACACCAACACTGGTGGACTTGATAGATATGTCTTCAGGCTTTCAAAAGCCTTTTGATGTTCTTCTTTTCAGACGAATTCGTTCTGATTTTTCAGCTTTAAGAGCGGCGAAGAGACTTTAGTTCGCCCTGCACAGTTAGAAATAAAGCGTCTTAAAAAGTTTACTTGGCCTAGAAACCTTTGCAATTCTTTTTTGTTGTTAGGTGATTTGGCCTCTAAAATGGCCTTCGCTTTATTTTTATCAAGTTCAATCCCTCTCTTGTGTACTAAGAAACCAAGAAAATTCCCTGCATTAACATCGAATGCACACTTCAAGGGATTCAAATTTAGCTTATATTGCTTCATTCGCTCAAACGAATATCTTAACTATTCGAAATGGTCCTCTTCTTTAATGGACTTGACTACTATGTCATCTACATACACTTCCACAAACTTGCCTATCATATCATGAAAGATTAAATTCATTGCCCTTTGATAAGTTGTCCCTGCATTTTTTAGGCCGAAAGACATAACCACCCATTCAAAACATCCTAGAGACCCAGGGCATCTAAATGCAGTTTTGTGTATGTCTTCTTCAGCTATATAAATTTGATTGTATCCTGAATACCCATCCATGAAAGAATACATGACATATCCGGCAGTCGAGTCTACTAAAGAATCCACCGTGGGCATTGGATACTCATCTTTGGGTGTGACTATGTTTAAATTCCTAAAGTCTATACACACCCTTAGTTTACCATTCTTTTTTAGTACTGGCACGATATTGGACAACCATTTGACATATCTAGCTGTTCTAATAAAACCTGCTTTCAATAATCGCTCTATCTCTTTCTTAATCTCAGGGAGCACATTAGGAGCAAAAAGCCTAGGAGGTTGCCTATGAGATTTAAAATTAGGCTTAGTTGGTAACCTATGTTCCACCAAGTCTCTATCTAAACCAGGCATTTGTTCATATTCCCAAGCAAAACAATCTTTGTACTCTTTTAGTAAAGCGATTAATTTGTTACTAACCTCTGGGTCGAGCATTTGGCTGATGAATGTTGGGCGATCTTCTCCTTCATTGTCAATATTTACTTTGATCAGAGGGTCTTGTACTTGAGCGTATTCAGGTTTGGCAATCCGCATCACCTCGTCGTCCAGTTCCCTTGTAAGTACTTCCTCTTCCAAACAGTCCACCTTGTTGACTTCTCGGCCATTGCTTTGCTCTAACTCGAATACTGCCAACTTGTCTTTCAGCGCTTTTAGGGCTGTCTCTTCTTTTGCTTGTCATTGCATTCCTTATTGAAAGCCATCAGTCTGGCTTTGAAGGCCTGAATGTCGGCCATTTGCTTTTATAACTTAGAATCCATTCAAGACTCCTTGATTATTCTTTTGCCAATTACTGGCTCTTCCAGGGCCACTATATTTGGCCTCATCTGTTTGAACATTTCAGTGAGTGCGTCCACTGAGAACGGTTCTTCGCTTTGCGCGACAACCTGAGTTTTTTCCCCATCTTGTACTACCCTGACAGGTTCATAGTTTCCTTTGTACATGAACTTTTCCACTGAGTTTGCTTCTGCGACAAAAGGCCTATGATCGGCCTGTATCACCTCTGCTTCGCCTTTGTTATTCCAAAAGATCAGGCATTGATGGAGCGACGACGACTTCCGTGTATCCAATCTCTTCCTAGTAGCACATTGTAACTAGTAGGACCATCTATTACAAAGAAGACAGT